AAATGGACAAAAGATTCAGACACTTCACTAAAGAAGGTGTGTGGTAGTGAAATAAACATATAAATAATTATGTACACGAACAGATGTTCAACATCATTAGTCGTTAGGGAAATGCAAATTAAAGCCCCAGTGAGGTAGCACTCCACATCTATCAGAATGATTAAAATAAAAAATCCTGTTAATATTAAGTTCTGGTAAAGATGCAGAGAAAGTGGATCGCTCAGACATTGCTGGTGGGTAAGTGGTGCAGACACTCTGGAAAGCAGTTCAGCAGTTTCACATGAAGTTAAACATTCACTTACTTTACAACCCAGCGGTCACACTCCTGGGTACTTACACTAGAGAAATGTAAACTAATGTTCACTTACGGTGAACTTACATAAAACTGATAGTGGCTACTGCTTTAGAAGCAGAAGAAGGAACAGGATTTACTCCTTTAGTTCTGTCTGTAACGTTACAGTGAGGGAGAGAAACAGAGGTGGAGGGTCCCATAGAAAACAGAAAAATTAAATTCTCATTCCTGGGGGGCAAAGGTGTCTGCTAGATAATTTTCTGCACTTTTCCATGTGAGAATTATTTAATAAATTTAAAAAATAAATATTTTTTTAAAATGAATAGTACAAACCGTAGTTTTTACTAACTCAACCAGTTTGTAGAATGGAGAATGAAATACTTATTACCTACAACTTTGCCAGGTGTATTCCTGATAGGCAACTTATATGCCAATAAAAATTTCACCAGAAAAATCTTATAATTTGCTTATGAATTAAAGGATGTTCAACCTGAAATAAGCAACCCAGAGACTTCCTCCCCCAGTCGACAATGTACACGTTTTCAACACACCAAAAGAGAAAGTGGGAAAAAAATCATTATCAATTGAGTTAGCAATGATAGACATGCCCACAAGATGTCAGTGTATGTTAGAACCAGTAAGTGCAGTAAAGTTACAGGACATAGAATCTATATACAGAAATCAGCTGCATCCTTTATACTAAAAACAAACTATTAAAAAGAAAAATTGAGAAAACAATCCCATTTACAATTGCATGAAAAAGAATAAAATGCCTAGGAATAAATTTGACCAAGGAGGTGAAAGACCTATACACTGAAAACTACAAGACTTAAGGAAAGAAACTGAAGAAGGCACAAACAAATAGAAAGACATTCCATGCTCATAGATGGGAAGAGTTGATATTGTTAAATGTCCATATTAGCCAAAGCAATCTACAGATTCAATGCAATCCCCCTCAAAATTCCAATGACATGTTTCACAGAAATAGAAAAAACAGTCTTAAAATTTGTGTGGAACCACAAAAGACCCTGAATAGCCAAAGAAATCTTATGAAAGAAGAACAAACTGGAGGCATCACACATCCTGATTTCAGACTATATTGCAAAGCTATAGTAATCGAAACAGTATGGTATTGGCATAAAACAAACACACAGGCCAATGGAACAGAATAGAGAGGCCAGAGGTAAATCCACACATATACCATCAATTAATTTATGACAAAGGAGCCAAGTGTACACAATAGAGAAGGACAATTGCTTCAATAAATGTTACTGGGAAAACTGGACAGCCACATGCAAAAGAATGAAACTGGACCCCATGTTACACTATACACAAAAATTTACTCAAAATGCATTAAGGACTTGAATGTAAGACTTGAAACCATAAAAATTCTAGAAGAAAACATAGAGAGTAAGCTCCTTGAGATTAGTCTTGGCAATGATTTTTTTGGATTTGACACCAAAAGTGAAAGTAATAGAAGCAAAAATAAACAAGTGGAACCACATCAACTAAAAAGCTTCTGTACAGAAAAGCAAACCATCAACAAAATGAAAAGACAATCCACAGAATGGGAGAAAATATTTGCAAGTCATGTATCTTATAAAAGGTTAATAACTAAAATATATAAAGAACCAATAAAACTCAATAGAGAAAATATCTGATTAAAAAATGGAGGATCTGAATAGACATTTTTCCAAAGAAGACATACAAATAGCCAACAGAAACATGAAAAGATATTTTAAAAAAATATTTGCACTTCCATGTTCATTACAGCATTATTTACGATAACCAAGATGTGGAAACAACCTAAGCGCCCATCTACAGATCAATGGATAAAGAAAATGTGGTACGTATATATAATGCAATATTGTTCAGTCATAAGAAAGAAGGAATTCCTGCCGTTTTCAACAACATGATGGACCTTGAGAGCATTATGCTAAGTGAAATAAGTCATACAGAGAAAGACAAATATTGTATGATCTCACTTACACATGAAATCTAAAAAGAAAAACAGCAAACTCATAAATACAGAGAACAGACTGGTGTTTGCCAGAGGCAGGATTTTGGGGGTAGGGGGGTGGGCGATGAAATGGGTGAAGGTGGTCAGAAGGTACAGACTTCCAGTTACAAGATAAATAAGTCCTGGAGATTTAATGTACACCATGGTGACCACAGTTTAAAAATTATATGTTTATGTAAAAAGGTTCCAGTATATGAAGTCCTCTGTCTCTCAAAGTTTGTTTTGCTTCTTTTTCTAGTAGTTTGAGAAGTTGGATAAGAAATTTGGAAGAATATGCATATCTGTTTGGAGTATCTTTGGTTGGACTGAAATATATAAGATTAAAATAAAATACTGCTTATGTTGCATTGTGTGGTCAGCGTCAGAGGACAGCTGTTATCAAGGATGGAAGAGCAGGGAGAATAGGAAGATCTGGGAACCTCAATAGTGACTCTGTGGCTCCGTATGGTATGAGTCTGGGGATTTCCATAAAGGAACCAAGGAAAGCCTGAGGACAACTTACCATAGGATAACTCAGTTATTCTCATTTGTGTTTCTTTATGAGGCGGACAAGCAAAATAAAATGTTTGGAATTTGATAATTTGACATCAATGCTTTCATTGGATGAATTTTCAGAATAAAATGGAAAAGAATCCTTCAGTGTCTAGAGAGGGAAATATTTTTATTTTGGAAAACATTTATACTGTTCATAGTTTTTAATATTTTCCCTGATAAAACTGAATTTCGGGAGAGGTTTTTTCTTCCTGGTAACTATGACAAGAATCGTAGACTTGCACCAAACAATATACATGCACTCATGGCGACAATATGGCCAAATATTTGAATTTTGAGGACCTATGGATTCTCCCTTCCTAGAACTTCTAAAGCCTATTTTGTTATCATTTGTCTGAGTATGGTTTGCTGTTGTGAAGTTGCCAGTAGCCATGGTTGGTGGGTAAGTACGAAGGAAGGGAGATGATAACATCTTGTCTGTCTCTTGTAGGGAAGACAAGGATTGGCATATTTCACCTTAGAACCAGGTTACAGACAAAATAATCAAACTATCAATGAACATTTGCAATCATGCCATGATTCGTAATTAATTTGTCTCAGATAAGCCTCTCAGATTTTGTCGCAGATTAATTTACTAAACTTGAACATTTTAAGTAATACATCTCCTTCCAATACTTCCTTCAATATTAAGCATAAGGCTTGTCCTTTACTAGATATAATCATTCATCATTAAATCAGAAGAAAAGGCAATACAATGTTTAGAACAGGCCAAATCTTTCAGGCTGAGTGTTGTAACACATTCGGCTTGACCCAGCCAGAAACTGCATTTCAGAGGCAGCTACTATATGCTGAGGGGCCTTGCGCCCCTACTGTCAGGAACACAGAGCACGGCCATTTCAACAGGAGGGAAACCCTGCCATCTTGCTGCCTCCCAGGCTGCTGTGGGCATTCCTGGTCTCCTCTGCTTAGTTACAGACAATTGCAAACCAGGTCATCGGCTGCCTGTCATCACTCAGAGGGGAAATGGGACAGAGGAGCAGATTCTCAACTAATCATGAACTCTCTTCCCTGAACCACTCATTGACAAGTTATTTTGACCTTAGAATCAAAGAACTGCCACTGTTTTAGAGACCATGCCTGTACTTTCTTTTCTATTTGTCTAAATGATTTTTGTCTTTTATATTAATTTATCCTTTAAAATAATGAAACCAAATGGAAGACTGACAACTGCATTCCACATGATCACGTGACAGTGCACAAAACTTCAGTCACCAACTTCTGTGGAGCTGACATATACTGAGTGTTTGCAGCCCGCAGCTATCACATTCTGCAGGAGTGGATTATAGCACTGTGTCACAGACAGATCTGGAACACTTGTCTTGACTTTATTTTACAAAGAGAAAAAATACCCAGCTACAAAATTGAACAAGTGCGACAGATCACTTTGGACCAATGTGATAAAAAAATGTGACATCAGGACAATTCTAGAACATGTGATCTAATAAGCACAACTCCACTTATGGAGACAACAGGACTGAATATCCTGACCCTCTCCAGAGTGTAACAAATAAAACTCAGTGTCAGATTTCAAAAGAACAATATTTTGTTCTCATTATAATTTCATAAAAACATAAACAATTGAATAGATTCTGAAAGTCAGAGGGACGATTTTTTTATCATTTGATGTTGAAGTAGCTTAATTTATGGTAAAACTTAAGTTGAGCCCAGACCTCAGTAAAAAAGAAGAAACAGATGCATTAATAATTTTGGATAGCTTTGCCTTTCACCAAGAAACCAAAGATCTGTGAGCTTTTAAAAAGATTTATTAGATTCTGGATAGAGAAAATTAAGTACAGGTTAAATATGTGACCGGTTAAGTAGATTATGAGGTAGGTCCGTAGCCTACAATAAATTCTACTGTAAATGGACCCCTGGAATTATTCCACTGAATAATCATCAATGTGTGTCAACTGGTTGAATCTTCAGTTCCCCTCAGTTCAAATCTCTCATACTAATTGCTTTTTCTGTGCCCCTTTTCAGGTACTGCTTAACTCAATTGCTAGGGAAACAAGTAGACAAAGTAACGGTTTGGGGTGAGCCAGACTTTTTTCTCCTCCATGCATAGACTATGTGGTCTGTGACCACAAGAAAACCCTATTCTTGTTTGGGGGAGGGGCATCAAAGCCCAGGAACTATGTATATGCGCTGCCAGGCACTCAGTGAGACTGACCTCTCAGCTTGAACTAAACACATTTGTGCAGGGGACACATGCCACATGCCGCTCTCCAGCCTGCTAGGAGTACTCATGGCCTTCGTCTTCTCTGGTAGGGATGGTTCCCAACGTGGGTAAGAACGTTAAGGCTGAAAGTGCTGGACACAGGCATATGGTACTTCACATGGACTTGAGGAGGAAAGGAGGATTGGAGAAAAGCAAACAAATTATGATTTCAATGTGGTTTGTCTTTGGGTCCTAAACTAGTCTAATTCTTACAATAGTTTATTCACTACCTCAGCTCTGTTTCCTGATTTTTCCCACAGGATCCACTGTGGCCCAGAGAGTCACTCAAGGCCGAACAGCCACATCCATGCAAGAGGGGGCAACAGTCACCCTGGACTGTGTATATGAAACCAGTTGGAGTGCATACTACATTTTTTGGTATAAGCACCTTCCCAATGGAGAGATCGTTTTCCTTATTCGTCAGGATTCGTATAGCCCGATTGCAAAGAATGGCCGCTATTCTACAAACTTACAGAAAGCAGCTAAATTCATCACTCTCACCATTTCATCCTTACGGCTGGAAGATTCAGCAAAGTATTTCTGTGCTCTCTATGAACACACAGTGTTTGAAGTGATAGTAAAAGCAGAACAAAAACCCCAGAGCTCAATAAGAGAGAGCCCTCCTGCTGCAGGGCCCAGCTGAAATGCACACCTGCAGATCCCAGACTAGAAATGGCAGTGCTGTGGGTGCTTAATCTGTGGTCTGGATCAGATGATTTAATTCTAAGTAAAACCTCCTTCTATGTCATCTGGAAACAGGTGTCCAGAGTAACTTTCCTCTAATCCATTCTCAGTCTTAAATGTTTGACTTGAAATTGACCATACAAATTTTAAGTTGAAAAAACTTGCCTCGCAATAATTTAAAGTGGCAGTTTCACTTAAAGATGCTCACATCACAAACCTGGGTCTAGTCATCTGTAATTATCAAGAAAGTAATTTCCTTAGTCTTTTCCTCTTAGACGTTGTGTCAGTTAGGGTATAATCAGAGAAGCAGAGCCACCATGAGTGATGCAGAATAAGAGATTAAGTGTAAGGATTAAAACTCATGCAGCTGCTGGGGCTTGGCGAGGAGTCTATACAAAGTTGTTGTCTTTGCATGCGGTATTGAGCCTGAATTTGCTCTAAGTCAGCTAGAGTAAGATTTGTGAAAGAAAGTTGGATGAGGACAAAAGCATAGACAAATTGTGACTTGTAAGACATACTACAACCCTTGAGGACAATTGAAACCCACAAAGACAAACTAAAACTTGTCTCTCACCTCCTTCAATCTCATGGTGGTGAGTGGCCTTCAGGAGAAGTTGGTGTAATTTGTCATCACGCTACATGCACACGTGGCTTAAGTCAAAGAGAAGCCTAAGGAGGACATCTTAGGTGGGAGGTGGAGGGGGTGTGAGGCAACAATAAGATGAGCCAGCGGATCAGCAGCATCATGTGCGAGTTGCCACAGTGCCTGGAGCTGCAGAACGTAGAAAATATGGCCGCTTCATCACAGCTACCTTCCAAATCCTGCACAAATCTCTTTCATGGCCAGCCCTAACCCAGAACGATACAGGGAAGCAAATTCTGGGAAATATATTTCCGGAGAGTTGAGAGTGTACAGTACTACCACAGTCCCCTCCTTGTCAACCTGGCATCCGTCTGTACCTCTTTTAACAACACTCAACTTTCAGATAAGGACGATAGGAAAATTATATTTCATGCTAATATGATGCAATTATTCCTCATTCAACAAAAACAAGCTAACCTTCTCCTACAAAGAGGATCCAAAGTTCACCTATCCATTTTTGGATAAATTGTCTCGTGTAGCTGAGACAGACTCTCCCATTGATATCCTGAATCTTAACTACTGTGATATGAGATACAAGATTAATTTATATTAGCACATCTTATGCTAGCACGTGCAGGCAAATGAGAGAGGGGAGTAAAAATGGTTAACAGATACATAAATATACTCATATCAAAGTGAAAAAGAAATTTTCCTAAGTATAATAGTTCTTGTTTCTGCAAATGATCACATGATTGTAGCTGATATTTAAAACTACCTCTTCCATTACCCATTCCATAATCTCTTTGCTCATAACAAGCTCCTTCTCTCACTGCTATGCTTAACTTTCTATAAATGAAGCTTCTTACTCAGAAGCAATGCTATGTGGAATGCCATAAGGTTGAAGATGGAATTCTGCAAGACCACCGCTGTGGTTTTGGCAGGAGCACTGCAGGCGCCAAAGGCTAATCCACATTCAGAGTGTATTTAAGTGGGAAGAAAATATTGCCAGTGCCCAGAGAAAACTGATACATTGTATTTTAGGAAACATCATTAAGAACGATACTTGATTTCTCATCAGAAACAATAGAAGTCACAAAAGGAAAGCATTCTTAAAGTGTTTAAAGAAAACAAAGAAATAAAACTTTCAGGCTAGCTCCCTATGAACATAAAGTATATTTTTAAATTGTCTTTGTTAAAAATGACTGTTAAGAAAGTGAAAGTAAGTGCACAGACTGGTAAACTATATTTTCCGTGTATATTTCTGAAAAAGGACTCAAAAGAAGAATACATAAAAAGCTCCTATAAATCAATGGGGAAAGAAAATAATCAGTAAAAATGGCAAAAACTTGAATAGCCACTTCAGTAATATGATATTCAACAGCTAACAAACATACAGAACAGCGCTTAATATTATTATTCATTTATTATTGTTATGTGCCCTCAAGTTGGCTCTGACTCCTGGGGACCCTATGGATGACTGATGTCCACAGTGTCCTGTCCTCAACAGCCCTACTCAGCTTCTGCAGACTCATGCCTACGGCTTCCTTTATGGAGTCAACCCATCTCATATTCGATCTTCCTCCTTTCCTGTAGCTTTCTACTTTTCCCAGCATTCCTGTCTTTTCCAAAGAATCCTGCCTTTTCATAATGTGCCCAAAGTAGGACGGGCTCAATTTTATCATTTTTTCCTCCAGTGACAGTTGAGGCTTAATTTGCTGTAGGATCAACTTGTTTGTCCTTCTGGCAGTCCAGGGCATCCGCAGAGCTCTCCTCCAACACTGTATTTCAGATGACTCCATTTCTTTCCTGTCAGCCTTCTTCATTATCCAGCTTCACACCTGTACATAGTAAGTGGGACAATGAGGATGTGAATAATCTTGGTCTTGGTCTCTAATGACACTTTCTTACACGATGATTTTTCCTAATTCTTTCATTGCTGCCCTTTCAATCTCAGTCTTCTCTTGATTTCTTTTTTTCTTTTTTTCTAAGGAAGATTAGCCCTGTGGTAACATCCACGCCCATCCTCCTCTACTTTATATATGGGATGCCTGCCACAGCACAGCTTGATAAGTGGTGCGTGGGTCCATGCCCAGGATCCAAACCAGGAAACCCTGGACTACTGAAGTGGAGCACACAAACTAACTGCTATGCCACCGGGTTGGCCTCTTCTCTTGATTTCTTGACTGCAGTCTCCATTTAAATCGATGGCTGAACCAAGGTAAGCAAGATCCTTAACAATTTTAATGTCTCCATTATTATTCATTGGGGAAATGAAAGTAAAACCAAGTCTGTGTCCTTTCAACACCCTGAGTACACTAATGTATCCAGGAGGAAATGACCCAAAAGGATAGGGAAAAATAATGTCTATCTCCTGGAAGATAGATGATTGAGTAAATTCTCTAGAAGTTTTCATCACTGAACGCATGTGGAGAGGAGATAAAACAGTAACAGGTCACAGACCTGGACACTGAAGGAAAGGCAAGTTTTTCTAGGAAAAAAAAGTTGATATTTATTGAGATTACTATATGTCAGGCACTGTAGTATGCATTTCAGATTCATTATCTAATTTAAACATCACAAACCTTATATGATAGGATTTATCATTCCTATTTTTGATATTTGGGAAATGAGACATAACTTTCCTAACTTCGAAAACCATCTCTAACTTTCATGGTCAGCCAGAGTGTAGCATCTTAGAGGGCTCCTAAACAGCAAGGTTTGGACCATGGAGAAGCAATTAGCCCCAGAACAAAGTGGCTGGAGGTTTCAGTGATGATGACATTACCAGTTTAAACTGGAACCCAAAGGGAGCTAGAAAAGAAGATGCCAAACGTAGGTACAAATTGGCCCAGCATCAATAGATGGGGAAATGATGCACTAAGCAGTTAATTGTGCTGAATGCTTTATCAAGTTCCTTATACAGCAGTGTGCTGGGAAGAATAAGGGGCTACAGGGAAAGATGAGATACTATTCCTTAAACACTCCAAGCAAGTTTCCATGTCAAGACCTGGGCCCCTTGCCTTTGCCCTCTCTGCCTGTAATGCTATCCTCCCAAATATCTGCATGGGGTACCTCTGAACTTCCTTTAAACTTACTCAAATGTTACCAATTAATGAATCCTTTATCTAAATCTTTCTATTTTCCTTCCAGGCTCCATGTATCAAGAACGAAAGCAGTTCTTTGCTGAAGCGCTGCCACCTGGTGTTCTGCTAAAATATTTCGTGAGGCTAACACTGGCCTCCCTGCTGCCCTCCAGCGTTTATGGGTTAAATTGTGGCGAAGCCTAATCTCTATAGGAGCCACTACTGCTGACCCAAAGTCAGTAAACCTCCCGCTGCAGTAATCCCGTGAGAGAGGATTCAGGAGAACTGGCTCGTTTTTAATTTTTTTCCCTGCCAGGTGTGAAAGTGATTGACTTAAAAATGATAAATATAATACGTGGGATGATTTGGGCTGGAGAGTAATAGGATATCTGGGAAATAAAGCTTGGCATTGTTGTATAGGTGGAGAGTTTTTCTCTAAGCGAAATTGTGTCTACTGTTCTGTCCGTTACTGTACTATAGAAATATCCTGAGAAGTGGGAGCAAGTCAATGATGGAAAATGATACACAATTGTAGTAAACACTGCTTGATATAGTTCTATGTTATAATATGCCACCCAATCTCCCAATATAAGGCAGTAATGAATTGATTTCCCATAACAGTAAGAAACATGACGGACCAGGGACACTTATAGTAACACATGAAATCTTCTATGTAAATTGTAAAATACACCTTGGAAAAATATTGAGCTTTAAGCTGTGGATAGACTCGTCTGCAATTTCAGACTGTGTCTTCCAACCTTCAATATTTTATAAATTGTGTGCATCTGGTTGAGTGCCTAAGATAGAGAAGTTATTGTCTTAGGCAATTTCCATGTGTGTTCTCACTTAATTCTTCTTGGAACCCTTCAAGGTTGGTTCCACCCTCCTTTAGGGAGGCAGTGTACCAAAGTGCTTGAGACCACAGACTTGGGCTGTATTTCTAGATCTGCCTCTCATTAGTTGAGTGATCTTGGGAAAATTACTTAGTTATTTTTATGCTTCAGTTTCTTCATGCCTACAGTGTGGATATTGATAGTATCTACCACACAGGGTTATTATGAGAAGTAAATGAGGTGATGAATGCCAATGCTTAGCCCAGTGCCCCACAGAAAGACACTGGCTCCTTACAGAAAAGGAAATCGAACAAGAGAGAGGTTAAATACCTTGCCTGGCATTGCAAAAAAGTGTCAGAAGGGAGCCTTCCCTCCACAGCCTATTTAGAGCAGATGCCTTTCCTCACTCCAGAGTAACTCTCTATCTCAATACAGTATCGTATTGTCTTTGTAGTGCTTATCACTATTTAAAATAATATCATTTTTTAAAAATTCACTTATTTAATTTTTTTCTCCTCTCATTGCACTATCAGCCTTTTGTATCCTCTTCACTACTGCGACCCCCATGCCTGAACTATGCCTAACACAGAGGAGGCACAATCGATACATAAATTTGTTGATTGAATGTACAAAAGATAAAATTACTTCTGGAGTCCATGCAATTAAAACACTAATATAACAGATTAAGCTGGACTAATCTTTGTGTTATTTACCTGGAATTGTCAAGATTCCTACTCTGCAAGTCACTTTAGGTAAGATTTAACTTATGCCATAAATCTAGTGGTCAGTTGGCTTGGCCTCAATTCCAGGTAAAGTGGTGGCTATAGATTGCAGGATTCTGCCCTATTAGTTGTAAGAATGGTCCCTGCTGGTGGAGCTATGCCCTTCTTCTCC